TCAGGGAGGAGGGAAGAGATAAACCAAAGAACTTATGCATATAAGCATAACCAATGTAAATAGACAAGGAAGCTGGCGGGGGCAGGAATGTGAAGAGGGTGTCAATGGGGGAAAAAGGAGAAACATCTGTAACAAAAATAAATTAATTAAATTAAAAAACCCACAAATTAATAGCAAAGGGAAAAACAAAAGGGAGGAGAATCTGTTAGATCTGTTATAGATTAAAAGGAACTTGAGAGACTATTGGGAGATAATTCTCCACAGGTCTCTCACATTTCCACACACCTTGCAAGGAGACTCCCTTCCTTTTTTCCTAAACTATCTTTTCAAGGATATTTATATAGCAAACAGCCTTAGAAGATAGAGTCCCCATCCAGAGCAAAGGGCAGAATATACTCAAAATTAGACTCAAAAGAAATTCTCCCTCTAGGCAAAGATCAGGCAGGCTTACTTCCCATTATGAAAGATTCAGGGCCCATATGCTCAGGGCTCCTCTCCTATATGGAACCCACATTACATGTTCAGGTATTGTCAGGCCCTCTTTGTATCACCCTTAAGAAATGAGGCTTCCAGAATGGCTGGCATCAACAAATCATCAAACAAGTGCTGGCCAGGATGTGCAGAAAGGGGACTCTAGAACACTGCTGGTGGGAAGGCAGACTGGTGTGGTCCCTATGGAAAAGAATATGGTGTTTCCTCAAAAAATTAAAAATGAAATGACCATTTGACACAGTGATCCCACTTCTAGGAATATATCCTAAGAAGCCTGAAACACCAATCAGAAAGAATATATGCACCGCTATATTCATAGCAGCACTTTTTATAATGGCTAAGATCTGGAAACGGCCCATCAGTAGATGAATGGATAAAAAAAAAGCTGTGGTCCATTTACACAGTGGAATACTATGCAGCTGTAAGAAACATCTCTTACCCTTTGAGATGACATGAAGGGTCCTGAAGAGTATTATGCTGAGTGAAATAACCCAGTCAGAGAAAGATAAGTACCGCATGAGCTCACTTATTTATGGAATATCATGAACAAAATAAGATGTCAATCAAAATAGATCCAGAGTCATGGAAGTAGGGAACAGACTGACAAACCTCAGGGGGCTGGAGAGTGAGAAGAGATAAACCAAAGAACGTATATGCATATATGCACAACCAATGGACATAGACATTAGTTTGGGGAGAGCAAGATGGGGGTGGGAGTAGGGAGGAGGGGGTCAATGAGGGAAAAGGGTGGGACATCTGTAATACTCCAACAATAAAAAAAATAAAAGAAAAAAGAAGCTCCCTAAATTCCTGCTAAGTGTCCCCAGTTTACTACACTTACCTCATACTCTCAGACCTATTGTATTTCTCCATGACTGTCCACACTTCATCAAACCAGTCATAAAACTACTCAGGTCTAGCCCTGCCTGGTGTGGCTCAGTGGTTAGAGTGTTGTCCCAAGCACTGAAGGGTCTTGGGTTTGATCCCCAGTCAGGGCACATATGGGAAGCAGCCGACTGATGTTTCTCTCTCACATCGATGTTTCTCTTTGTCTCCCTCTCCCTTCCTCTCTCTTTAAAATCAATGAAAAAAAAAACATATCCTGAAGAAAGGATTAAAAAACACAACTATTCAGATCTAACTGTTTCTTCAGCTCTTCATTTCCTTATGAATGCTCCCATGTCACATAAAACATTACATTTGCATGCTTTTCTCCTATTAATCTGTCTTTGTCAGTTTAATTCAGACACAGCCAGGGACTCTAAGGTCATAAAAATTTTTTTTCCTCCCTTACACTGTCATAACAATGGGCAGCAAATGCACCGAAGTAGAGTGGATAGCCTAAAAAGAACAAGTTGCGACTGCACTGTAAAGCTTGAGTTAGCCAATGGGCACAACTGCAAAGCAATGTGGCTGTGACTGCAGAATGGAGACAACCCTAAAGTTGAAATAGATGACGTCAGGTACAGAGTTCTGAGCGTAATGAAAACATGAAACGTTCATTGGGTTGAACCCCGAGCAGCCGGCTGTATTGTTCAAAACCAAAAACCCAATGTAAGGCTTTCCTTGCTGGCATGGAGCCGCGCTCTCACACCATGCTTCATCCCTCCCTCCTCTTCTACCCTGAAATCAGCTGCTTTGAAGAAATGATTAGGGGTGGGACAGAGGGTTCTCTGTTTCCAAGAGAAACCAAAGGCTATACACACCCACTCTGAGTATGCTGGAGAACTTTAGGGAAGGGAGAAACTCAGACTTTTAAGGCTCTGTTGGATACAGGTGCCTAATGAGTGACCACCCTATCTGATCTCAAGGTGGTGAGGGAGCACCCAAATTCAACTGGTAGGGTTTCAGCAGGGATTAGTGAGGAAAGGCACATAAGTGACCTTTGGGGCGGGGGGACTTTGGGCCAATTCAATGTACTGTCATTGCAGCTTCCATGGCTGAATATGTCACTGGTGTGGTGTTTTAAATGCTTGTTGTATGGATGCTAATAAAGTCCAAAGCGGTTCCTGTTCCAGGACAGAGGTATGTGGAGACATGGTAGTGGGGCATGCAAATCACTTCCCAACCCACCTCAGTGTCCTCTACTAGGTGGACCAACAGGAACAAAAGAGAATCCCTGGAGGACAAAAGCAAGTTACAGCCTTGATTAAGACTAAAAGGCAACAGCCCTTGCTCAGTGGTTAGAGCAATGGCCCTCACACCAAAGGGTCACAGGTTCGATTCCCAGTCAAGGGCACATACCTTGGTTGCAAGTTTGATCTCCGGCCCCAGTCAAGGTGCATGCAGAAGGCAACCAATCTATGTGTATCTCTCACATCGATGTTTCTCTCTCCCCCTCCCTCCCTTCCACTCTCTCTAAAAGTCAATGGAAAAAAATATCCTCAGGTGAGGATTAATAACAACAGAAAGACTAAAAGGCAGCAGACATAATAAGATATATAATGTCAATACAACAGTCCCATAGTGAAATAGTCACTGGATTACCGCCAACTAAATTCACTGTCACTCCTATGGCCCTGCCTATTCCAGACATTGTGGCTGTAACACATTGCACAGACTAATGATGGGACTTGAAATGCTGGGTTGGATGCTGCCTGGGCTTTCTTTTTCTTTATCCCAGTGAAGTTGGAAGACACTTCCATGGGTCTCTTGTGCTCCTATATATCTTGCTGGGTATGACTAGAGAGCAAGGGAATGTCCTTTCCCTGGCATTTATCAGTTTTATTTTGGCAGCAAGCAACTTTGAGGCTGGCTTCCAGGCTGCTATTAAGCAACAGGTTCCCCAGGTTCAGAGTTTCCTGCGATGCAACTCACAACACATGCTGGCAGCTGTCACGGATGATCTGAACCACCCCTGTGGGAACTAGGAAACCCAGCGCCAATTAGGTTTTTGTTTCTTTGTTTGTTTAAAGGCATTTTCCCCGTGGCCAAAGGGAAAAAGACCTCTCCCCACCTCTTCCCTTTTCTGAGTATTTCCTTGAGAAAACTGGTATTTGTATATATCTTTCTTCTGCCCCTTTGATATGTATGTAAATCTTTTGAAAAGCTAAATAAATCTTTTGTCAGAATTACAGCCTGCGAATCATCCCTTTGCCATACAAACATCAAGGACTATACAGCCCCTATCTACCTGTCCCCATGGGAGCTTAGCCTAGGAGCTTGGTTTGATTTTGCCTTTGGATAAAATCAACTAGCACAGATGGCCACTCATTACTAGGTGAATTTAGGATAAACTAGGAAAAAATGCAGAAAACACGTGCTGTCAAAGTCCTCTTGCATGATGACTAGTTATCATTTATCTATAGAACATGTATGTGATGGACTGTATTTGCTCAGCTACACAAAATGGTGAAATTTTTTATCTTTGCAATCTCATTAGCAGATTGCCCATGATGCAAATCACAGTTTGGTTTAATACGCAGTAATAAAATTATTTTCTTTCTTTTTTACATTTGTAGAGACAATTTCCTGGGTTGCCAGGAGATTTAAAAAAAAATTCCCCTAGCCCTGGCCAGTCTGGCTCAGCAGTTAGAACACTGGCCCTCGGACCAAAGAGTTGCAGGTTTGATTCTGGTCAAGGGCATGTACCTCGGTTGCAGTTTGTCCCTGGCCCTGGTTGGGGTCGTGTGGGTGACAACCAGTCGATGTGTCTCTCTCACATCGTGTCGTTTCTCTCTCTCTCTCTTCCTCCCTCTGCCCCTCCCGTTCTATCTGAAGATAAATGCAAAAAAGTTCTCGGGTGAGGGAAAAAAAAAAAGTAACCACAGCTAAATCTCCACCTTCTATAGTGGAAAGTCAATAAATAATGTCCAAAACCGAAATTTTTTTTAAAGAAAATCTGTTAAAAAGATTAAGAGTGCTTCCCTCTAGGGAGCCGGAATCTGGGAGAAACACAGCAGGAAAGAGCCTTTTTAAAAAAGACTTAGAGAACTATTTGACACGTTTTACTATTCGTAAATAAAACTAAAAACTAATTTTATATTACAAAGTGGCAAAAATATTCACAAAAATATATGAGAATGATAATGGGTTATTAACCTTAATATTTAAACTTTTTTTTTTTAATCCTCACCCGAGGACATTTTTTCCATTTTTTGTTCAGATAGAGTGGGAGGGAGAGAGAGGAAGAGAGAAAGAAACATCGACGTGAAACGGACACATCGAGTGGTTGCCACCTGCACCACCCAACCAGGGCTGGGTACAAACTGCAAACAAGGTACGTGCCCTTAGCGGGAACCGAACCTGGGTCTCTCTGGACCACAGGCTGATGCTCGAACCACTAAGCCAAACCAGCAAGGGCTAACCTGAATATTTAAAGAATACTCTTTAAAATAAATAAATCAGCAATGGACAGGAGAAGGAAATTCACACAAGGGAGATAAATTACCAATAAAAATCCCCTGATTATGCTGCCTGATTTTTTTAAAGTCATATGTTTTAAAATAATGATGTTATCTTCATTCTGAATGAATCCCTGCCCTTGGATGCCTCTTCTTCCTCCTTACCTCACAGGAGTCGGCTCTTCCTCCTGCAGTCAGGGCCAGGGTCCACTGGGGAGAGCTCTGGTTGGCTGGCATGTTTACTCTGGGCCTCAGCCCTGGGGCTCTCTTGCTAACAACTCAGCTCTTCCCAGGAGCCTAAGGCCAAGCAGGGTCCGTGGACTCAACCAGAGCTGCTGGGACCAAAGAGAGCTTCAGCCTTCCCTATTGGGTGTGGTCCAGGGGCTCCACAAAGACTCCAAGAAACCTGGAAAGACAGTGTCCACATGGTCAGTCATTCAGCATTCACCCCACAAACATTACTTGGGGGCACCAAAGTACAGTTCATGGCACTGGATGCTGTGGGGTAGACAATGTCCAGTCAACACCTATTCTAGTTATTCATCAAAATGGAATATGAGTGAGACCATAGATTTAAACTAAACTTAAGCCCTGGCCGGTTTGGTTCAGCGGTTAGAGCGTCGGCCTGTGGTCCTGAGAGACCCGGGTTCGGTTCCCGCTAAGGGCGCGTACCTCGGTTGCAGTTTGTCCCCGGCCCTGGTCGGTTGTGTGGGTGGCAACCACTCGATGTGTCCCTTTCACATCGATGTTTCTCTCTCTCTCTCTGTTCCTCTCTCTCCCTCCCACTCTACCTGAACAAAAAAAAAATGGAAAAATGTCCTCGGGTGAGGATAAAAATAAATAAATAAATAAAAATAAACTAAACTTAATAAAGGCTTAAATTCTAGCCCTGCCAACTTTTACCTATGAGAATATGAAAATGTTTCTTCAGTTTTTTTCAAAATGAGTCAAAACTATTTATCTCAAGGGATTATGAAAATTAAATGAGATGATGTTTGTAAAGCACTTAGGACCAGCCCAGATCAGCCCAAGTAAACATTTAATTCACATTAGCAAGTATTGTTACTACAAAGAATCGTATAATGTGCAGAAGCAGGTACCTCATTTAATTTGCACAACAATCCTGTCATCTATTTGTTGCTGTATTATTATTTCATTTTATGCATAAAAACAGAAGTTTACTGATATTAAGTAAAACTCAGTCTTCCTGGCTTCAAAGTTCACATTCTCAATACTATACCACATGGTACCCGTAATGTGGTAGGCTCAAAATAAACGTGGTTCTGTTTATAAGGTGTTGAAGATATGACTGTGATTTGGAATAAAAATGTTAAGTTTCTTAAAATAGAAGAGAGAGGTCAAAAGGAAAATACTAATAGACTGGGACTAAAATTGTTTAATTACCTCAAAAATATCCAAAGGTAAAACTGTTTCTCCTGTTGAAGGAGGAGGTGTCTCTGTGTCCAAGTTGAGGTACAATTTTATGCTGATCCATCAATAGAGGTGCTCAGATTTAGTCACTGTTTTTAGGAAAGGGAAAATATCCATGTAAAATGAAAAGGAACTTAATTAAGACAACAAAAGTAAAAGATGAGATGAAAAGAAAACAAAGAAGTTACATAAGGAGTGAAATAAAAGGCATGAATAAATTAAATTTTAAACACATAAAGATTATGCTGTACCAAAGAGAGAATATGCTTTTTTTTCTTATGCTGATGGTACTTTTACAAAATGCCATCAATTAACTTGTCCACAAAGAAAATTTGGTAGATGTTTTAATGTTAGGAACTGACAGGCTACATTCTCTAATCGTAGTATAAGGGGTTCAGTGTCATTAGTCATTAGGGAAATGCAAATCAAAACCAAAAATTTCGCCCTGGCCGGTTTGGCTCAGCGGTTAGAGCATCGACCTGCGGTCCTGAGAGACCCGGGTTCGGTTCCCGCTAAGGGCGCGTACCTCGGTTGCAGTTTGTCCCCGGCCCTGGTCGGTCGTGCGGGTGGCAACCACTCGATGTGTCCCTTTCACATCGATGTTTCTCTCTCTCTCTCTCTGTTCCTCTCTCTCCCTCCCACTCTACCTGAACAAAAAATGGAAAAATGTCCTCCGGTGAGGATAAAAAAAAAAAAAAAAAATTCCATTCATTAGGAGACTATTTCATATCCATTAGGATAGCAAAAACAAAACAAACAAACATAAAAAACAATATAAAGTGTTGGTAAGGCATGAATAAACTGGAGCTCTCATACATTGCTGGAAGAATTGTAAAATAATGTGGCCATTCTGAAAAACAATTTGGCAAAATGTTATCCACAGAGTCACCATATGATCCAGCAGTTCCACTCCTAGGTATCTACCGGAGAAAAGTGAAAACACATGTCTACTCCAAAACTTGTACACAAATAGTCACAGCAGGCCCTGGCTGGTTTGGCTAAGTGGTTACAGCATCAGCCTGCGGACCAAAGGGTCTCAGGTTCAATTCCTGGTCAAGGGAACATACCTTGGTTGCAGGTTTGATCCATGGTCCCAGTCAGGGTCATGTGAGAGGTGACCAATAGATGTGTCTCTCTCACATCAACATTTCTCTCTCGCTCCCTCCCTTCCACGCTGTCTAAAAATCAATGGAAAAATATCCTCAGGTGAGGATTACCAAAAAACAAACAAACAAAAAACACTCATAGCATTATTCATAATAGTCAAAAAATGGAAACCCCCTGGTGTCCATCAACTGATAAATGGATAAATGTGGTATATCCATACATTAAAATATTATTTGGCAGTAAAAAAGTACTGATGCAACATGAATGAACCTTGAAGTCATTACCTAATATGAAAGATGCTAGTCACAGTAGACCTCATATTTTATTATTCCATTTTTGTGAAATTTCTTAAATGGGCAAGTACATAGAGATAGAAAATTGATTAGAGGTTTCCTAGAAATGGGAGTGTGGCAGTGGCATGATTGGTGAACGTCTGCTATTGTGTACAATGTTGAAAATGTTCTAAAATTAGATTCTGGTGATTGATGACTGCACAATTCTGTGAATGTACTTAAAATCATTGAATCGTATACTTTAAATGGGTGAATTTTATGGTATTGGGATGTATCTAAGTAAATCTGTTTTATATATCTAAATAAAGCTGTTTTAAAAGAAAAAAAAAAAACAGTCCGGCCAGTGTGGCTCAGTGGTTGAGCGTCGACCCATGCACCAATAGGTTGCCAGTTCAATTCCTGGTCAGAGCACATGTCCAGGTTGTAGGCCCAATCCCCAGTGTGGGGCATGCAGGAGGCAGCCAATCGATGTTCTCTCTCATCAATATTTCTCTCTCTCTCTCCCTGTCTCTTCCTCTCTCTCTAAAAAAAATCAATTAGCCCTGGCCGGTTTGGCTCAGCGGTTAGAGCATCGGCCTGCGGTCTGGAGAGACCCGGGTTCGGTTGCCGCTAAGGGCATGTACCTCAGCTGCAGTTTGTCCCCGGCCCTGGTTGGTTGTGCGGGTGGCAGCCACTCGATGTGTCTCTTTCACGTTGATGTTTCTCTCTCTCTCTCTCCCTCCCACTCTATCTGTACAGAAAAATGGAAAAATGTCCTCGGGTGAAGAAAAAAAATAATAATAATAAATAATAAATAATAATTTTAAAAAAATAAAAAAATCAATTAAAAAAATTAAAAATAAAGAAAAGAAACACTTTCCTAAATAACCCAAAATCAAAGTGGGAAATCAATACAGAAGCTATACAATTTTTACCAGAAGTCATGGAACACACTAAAGTTATATATACAGAGAAATGTACAGTTTTAAATGGCTTCATTTTTTATTAAAATTAAATATAACAGAAAAGAGCTATGTGGTCAACCTAAAACATTAGAAGTAGAAAAACAAAGTTCAGCAAACCACCACCCCCAAAAAAGTAGTACTTAATAAAAATAGAATCTTAAATAAATCAAATAAACATAACAATGGGTAGTTTAAAGCAAACAAAGAGTTGTATCTTTGAGATAACCAATGTTATAGATAACCCCCTAGCAAACCAGATAAAGGACAAGAGCTTAAATATTATATATATGAGAGAGAGGGGGGATCTTTCCCACATCGAGCAGTGGTTCAAAGTAGTTACTGTGGGATATTATCTATAACTGTACAGCAATATATTTTAATATTGATGTGAAACAGGTGCTTCCCTGGCAAATGTAAATTAACAAAGTTAATAGAGGAAAAAACATAGAAGAGAACAATGAATGTAGAAGAGACCAAAACAAAAATGGCATAACAGAACAAACAGAAAGACTGAAGGGTAGAAAAGAAAGGGGGACAGCCCACACACCTCAGGGCCTGAGTAATAGCACAGTGGTGAGTTCCCTGGGTTTCATTCCTCCTTCCATATATCACAAACAAGGCACTGGATAAGCCTATAACTCAAACTGTCAACAGGCACAGACAAAAAAGCTCTAAGAAAAGCCTACTCCCCTTAAGCAAAGGGCCAAGAAAAGTGTGGCCTAACTCAACATACCCACCCAACTCCAGCCAAACACTAATAGAATATACATTCTCTTCAAACACCCATGCAACAGTCTCCGAAACATACCATATCCAGAGTCAAAACAAATCTCAACAAATTGAAATCATAAAGCATATGTTCATTGAAGTAGAAATCAATAACAAAAATATAAAAGGAAAGTCTCCAAACACTTGGGAATTAAACAAAACATTTCTATATAATCCATGGATCAAAGAGGAAGTCTCAAAGGAAATGAAAATACATGTTGAAATTTGTGGAATGTAGATAAAGTAGTGTTGAAAGGGAAATTTATAATTTTAAATGTTTATATTAGAAAAGAATTAAGGCCTTAAATCAATAATCTAAGCTCCCACCTCAAGAAACTAGAAAGAAACTAGAAAAAGAGCAAAGTAAACCCAAAACAAACAGAAGGAAGGAAGTAATAAACATAAGAGCAGAAATCAATGAAATTGAAAACAGAAAAGCAATGAAAGCAAAAGCTGGTTCTTTGAAAACATTGATAAAATTGATAATCCTCAAGCAAGATTGACAAAAATAAAAAGACACAAATTACCAATATCAGAAATGAAACAGGAGATATAACTACAGATCCTGCAGCCATTAAAATGAAAGGGAATACCACACACAACTTTATGCACATTAATTCAAAAACTTGGATGAAATGGCCCAATTCCTCATAAAACACAAATTCCCACAACTCACCCACTATTAAATAGTAACTCTGAAAAGATATTAACTAGATAATCTGAATAGTCATATAACTACTACAGAAATTGAAGATATAATAAAAAAGTTTCCAAAAGAAAATCTCCAGGCCTAGATGGTTTCACTAAAGAATTCTACCAAACATATAAAGAAAAATTAGCATAATTCTATACAATCTCATCCAGAAAATAGAAGAGAACACTTCCCAACTCATTCTATGATGCCAGTATTACCCTAATACTAAAAACAGACAAAGAGAGTACATAGCTAATCAATTTCTGCAATACATAAAAACAGTTATACACCACAACCAAGTGAGGTTTATTCTAGGAATGTAAGGCTGGTTCAAAAATCAATCAGTGCATTCCCCCATATTAACAGGCTAAAGATAAAAAATCACAAGATCATATAAATTCATACACAGTATGACAAAATTCAACACTTATTCGTGATAAAAGAAGACAGACACATACATCAACAAAACAAAATAAAGACCCTTAAAATAGCCCACACAAATATGGTCAATTTATTTTTTACTAAGGTGCAAAACATATCAACAGAGAAAGCATAGTGTTTTCAAAAAATGATGCTTGAGTAATTGGACATTCAAATAAATGAACTTCAATCTAAGTCTCACACTTCATACTAAACTTAACTCAAATGGATCATGGACAGCAGGAAGGAGAAATGAACAAATTAACATCACCGTAGAAAATTTCCCTCCTCTCCCAGGAATAGAAGAAGCGGACATAAAAGTGTACAAATCTTGTACAACACAAATGACAATTAAATATTATTGTCGAGTTATATATGGAACATTTATAAACATTCACCACGTACTAGGCCATGCATCCCCTCATATTTCAATGAGCTTCACGTAGACATTTTTCGGACCACATTTTTCTAAGGTTAGAACTCTATTAAATTGATAAACTTCTGGAAACTGAAAACGCACTTTTAAATAACTCATGGGCAAAAGAAAAATGATCAACTCTTACAAAATACTGAGAACATAATGCACCAAACCTTGTGGATTTTAGAGTGAACTTTAAGACCTTAACATTGATATGAGAAAAGACGAAATCCTGCAAAATAATGAGCGCTTTATCCAACTACAGTTAGACAACCGAGTCCATCACTGACCACACAAAATTCCCTAACTCTCACCCTCCCCAGGGCCGCATCACTGCGAAACGCCTCCGGCACAGAGCAATTGAGATCCTCTTGACAACAACTATTCAACCACGACTGAGAATCACAGCCGCTTCCGGTCACCACCCCTAGCACCACCCCTTCTCGGGATGTGGGGCATCGCAGGAAAGGGATGGTTCTGCACATGCGCAAAAACACATTTGAAGCCTCTGTCAGCCGAGAGTCAACATGGAGATGTTACGGAGTCGGTGCTTTGGGGCATTCGGTGCCCTTCGGTAGCACTGGGGAACATGGCCGCGCCCAGGTCGCGCTTCATCGTGGGGTACACCATGTTGAAGGAATGTCCATTCCGTACTGAGGAGGAGAAAGCTGCTATAGTCACAGGACCGAGAGGTGGCGCTGTCTCACAGGTGGCGGGCAGCAGGGTTGCGGACGTCTGTCTTGGCAGGCTTTTTGAAGGAGAGGGTTCTTTTGATCTGTGTAATAATGTTCAGAGAAGCAGAGGGGCCTCAGGAAAGACGCCGAGGTGCCAGTGGCTGTCATCTCCTGGAAGATACCACAGGATGAGAAGAGGGAGAAGTCAAACTGGTAAAAGGCCTCTCCTAAAACATACCACGTGGGGAGAAGGAAAAGAAATCAGGGATGTGCAGGCTTCCCTAGCACTGGAGAAAAAAAGGGGAGAAGTCAGTGTTAGTGGCTTCTCCTCTGCCTTGCTTGTGGAGGTTGGCTGTGGGGTTTGAATGTTTCCATAATCTACATTATCTTCCACTCCAGCCACACAACCTAAAATAAAAATATGTACCAATAAAAACTTTTTATTTTTTCTTAACCTAATGCAATATGTCAGTAAAAACATCTTTAAGCCCTGACCAGTTTGGCTCAATGGTTGGAGCAAGGGCCCACGTACCAGAGAGTCAGTTGAGATGAGTATGTGTCTTTGCAGTTTTGGCTTAGGTAAATTTTTTACTTTTTGCAGCGGTTCTCAATCTTTCTAATGCCGCAACCATTTAATACAGTTCCTCATGTTGTGGTGACCTCCAACCATAAAATTATTTTCGTTGCTACTTCATAACTGTAATTTTGCTACTGTTATGTCTTAGGCAACCCCTGTGAAAGGTTGAGAACTGCTGTTTTAGAGGAAACTCACAGTTGTGAGGGATGGTCAATCCTGTTTTTATGCCTGTCTCTAATCTCTCCTTAGTCATGACCTTGATATTCTCGAAGAACCTATGTCAATTGTGTTGTGGATGCCTGTGCATTTCTTATTATTTTCTCATTAATAGATTTAAGTCTAACAGCTTGGGAAAGAAGTTTACATCGGTGAAGTGTCTCTCTTAGTGAATCGTGTCTGGAAGCATGTTTCTGTGCATCCTATATTTTGGTAATGCTAAATTAAATTTCTTTATTGTGAATAAATCTTTTGCCTTTTGTATTTAATTATCTGTGGGGTAATTTTTTGGGAACCCTGTGAATAATCTGTTCCTCCATGTATTAGTTTGCTGGGGATGCCATAACAGAACTTTGTTTTCTCACAGTTCTGGAGGCTCAAAATCCAAGATCAAGATGCTGGCAGGTTTGGTTTCTCCTATAGCCTCTTTCCTTGGCTTGCATATGGCCATCCTCTTACTGCCTTTTGACATGGTTGACCTCTGTGCACACCTGGTGCCTCTCTATATGTCCTAATCTCTTCTTATAAGGACACAAGCCCGGGCTGATTTGGCTCAGCCCGCGGACCAAAGATTCAAGGTTCAATTCCAGTCAAGGGCATGTACCTCAGTTGCGGATCAGTCCCCAGTCCCAGTCCGGGTCGTGGGGGAGGCAGTCAATTGATGTGTCCCTCTCACATCTCTCCCTCTCTCTCCCTCCCTCCCACACTATCTGGGGATAAATGGGAAAATATCCTTGGGTGAGGATTAAAAAATAAAATAAAAAGTTTAAAAAAAAAAAGGGACAGCCCTGGCCGGTTTGGCTCAGCGGTTAAAGCGTCGGCCTGCGGTCCGGAGAGACCCGGGTTCGGTTACCGCTAAGGGCATGTACCTCGGTTGCAGTTTGTCCCCGGCCCTGGTTGGTCATGCGGGTGGCAGCCACTCGATGTGTCCATTTCACATCGATGTTTCTCTCTCTCTCTCTCCCTCCTGCTCTATCTGAACAAAGAATGAAAAAGTGTCCTCGGGTGAGGATTAAAAAAAAAAAAAAAGGCCCTGGCCGGTTTGGCTCAGCGGTTAGAGCATCGGCCTGCGGTCCCGAGAGACCCGGGTTCGGTTCCCGCTAAGGGCATGTATCTCGGTTGCAGTTTGTCCCCGGCCCTGGTTGGTCGTGCGGGTGGCAGCCACTCGATGTGTCCCTTTCACATCGATGTTTCTCTCTCTCTTCCTCTCTCCCCCTCCCACTCTACCTGAACAAAAAATGGAAAAATGTCCTCAGGTGAGGATAAAAAAAAAAAAAAAGGACACCAGTCTGATTGGATCAGGGCTCACCTTAAAGCCCTTATTTTAACTTAATCCCCTATTTAACAGCCCTATCTCCAAATATGTTACATTTACAGTCTGAGATACTAGGGGTCAGGACTTAATCATATGAATTTGGAGGAACACATTTCAGCCCATAACACTCAAGTAACCTTTCCAAAGATGATTTTAGCATCCATTGATGATCTTCCCCTAAAACAATGATTGACTTGGGGGTTACAAAATGGTGATTTTTCTAATTCTATCATCTCTCTATATTAGCTGACATTCTTCTATATAGAGCTTTCCTTCCCCTTGCACGTTTGTTTGTGGAGAGTTATCTTCATGTGTCAGTATCAGATTTACTGCTTTTCTGATTGCAGATACATTACATAATACACAATTAGTTTTTAAGAAATATCAGTGCAATTAATGAATAGCAAGTACTACTGTAACATGCTACTAGAACTCCTGGACACACAATCTGTACTCATTGATTCCACTTTCTTTTCCCAATTGCAACTTGTCAGATATACTGGTCCGCATATCTTACTCTATCTTGGCTTTGAAACCATGTTGTCTCCTTACTTCCAATGTTACATCTTTTTTGTTTGTTTGTTAATCCTCACCAGAGGATATTTTTTCCATTGACTTTTTTTTTAGAGAGAGTGGAAAGGAAGAGGGGAAGCAGAGAGTGGCAGGGGAGAGAAAGATTGATGTGAGAGAGATACATCAATTGGTTGCCTCCTGCACGTGCCCCGAGCAGGGCCGGGGAATCTAACCTGCAACCCAGGTGTGTGCACTTGACCGGGGAATCGAACTCACAGCCCTTCTGTGTGCAGGTCAACACTCTAACCATTGAGCCACATTGGCCAGGGCTAATGTTACATCTTAATGCTTCTTGATTCTACTGGCATCATGTTGACTTGATTTCATTAAGCCCAACTGATAAACACTTGGATTTTTTCCTATGCTTTTCTATTTCAAACAGTGCCATGACTAGCCACCTTGTAATATACCTTTCAAACATGCATGGGTGTATTCTTAGACTAGAGTCCCAGAAGTGCAGTTTCTGAATCATAATTAAATGCATTTTAATTTGGTAAATATTTTCATACACACTTCATATGATTGTATTACTTTGACTAACCCCAGCAGTTAATGCAAGTGTCAGTTTTCCCACAAATTCACCAGCAGAGTAGGTTGTTAAACTTTTAGATTTTTGCTAATTTTATAGGTGAGAAATGGTATGCCAAATGTGGTTTTAATTTTTATTTCTCTTAATATGAGGGTGATTGAGCATTTTTTCACATGGGGTTAGTGGAGGTGGGCAAAGGCGGGAAACATGGGAAAGGAAAGAGACTTTGCTTGGAGTGATGGGTGCACGATGCAGTGTGCAGATGATGTTTTGTTAAGTTGTACACTTGAAACCCGTCTGATTTTGTGAACCGGTGTCACCCGAATGAATTCAATTAAAGAGTAAATAAAATATTAAATAATAAAATAAAACGAAATCATATTTATTGGTTTTTCTCTCAATGATTTGTTCCTGTATTCACTTCAACTAATATGACATATTAATATACTTCAAAAATTGAAAACTTCCTTTGAATCCTATTATAGCCCTACTTGATTATGATGTGTTAGTCTTTCTTTTGTTTCTTTGAGGAAGGTTAGCAATCTGTAATTAACAGATCATCTTGATGATCCCTCACTTTTTTTTATTGTTGACAGTATTACAGATGTCCCCCATTTCTACTCTTTTGGCCCCCTCCACCCAGCGCCTGCTCCACCCCAGACCTCCACCACACTATTGTCTGTGTCCATGGGCACATATGCATATATGTTCTTTGGTTAATTTCTTTCCATTCCCTCACCCCCTTCCTCTCTGAGATCTCAGTCTGTTCCATGCATCCATGCCTCTCTGGACCTATTTTGTTCATCAGTTTATTTTGTTCATTACATTCCTGACGTGTTAGTCTTTCAATGTACTATTGGATTCTGTTTGCTAATGTTTTATTTAGGTTTTTTAAATGTTTCTAAATTAGAGTGATCTAAAATTTTCATTTTTAAGCAAACTTGTCAGGTCAGTATTCACCCATGTAAGCATCACCACAATCAAGATAACGAATATTTTGCCTGGCTGGGTGGCTCAGTTGGTTGGAGCATCATCCCATATACCAAAAAGATAACGAATATTTCTATCACTGCCCCTCTCAAAGTTTCTTCATCCCTATTTGTAATCCATCATTCCCTTAATCCTCACTTCTAAGTAACCACTGACATATTTTCTGTCACTTTAGATTCACATGCATTTTCTAAGAGATTATGGAAATGAAATCATACAGTATTTTTTGTTTTGTGGCTGGCTTCTTTCACCCAGCATAATTATTTTGAAATCATACATGTCCAGGAACTTGAATTTATTGTTTTATGTATCTCTATTTTTTAAAAAAATATTTTTCTTTATTGATTTTTAGAGAGAGAGGAAGGGAGAGAGAGATAGAAAGATCAATCAGAGAGAACATCAATTGGCCACCTCCTGCATGCCCTCCACTGGGGATTTGGCCCACAACATGGGCATGTGCCCTGACCAGGAATCCAACCGATGACCTCTTGGTGCATGGATCGACGCTCAACC